TCAACACAAAGTGTTATTTTAAATTTAAGTCAAACCATGTACCTCCTTCCGTTTTATCCCCCCCACCCCATGAGATCCCAACTTACTTGTAATTAACTAGAGGCCCTGTGCACAAAATTCATGCGCTCAGGGGGGGTCCCTCAGCACAGTGGGGAGCAGGCCTAAGCAGGCAGTTGTACCGTGTTTCCCTGAAAATAAGACATTCTCCGAAAATAAGATCTTCTCCGAAAATAAGACCTAGCGCATGGAAAGATAAGACATCTCCTGAAAATAAGACCTAGCACAACTTTGGGAGAAAAAAATTAATATAAGACACTGTCTTATTTTCGGGGAAACAGGGTACATCCTTAGTGCTGCTGCAGCTGTGCTCACCAGCTGTGAGCCCTGCTCAGGGCTTCTGGCTGAGTGACACTTTCCCTGTAGTAACACACTAACCACCTAGCAACCAGCAGTTCCTGTTTGGTCGATTTGCATATTAGCCTTTTATTCTATAGGATAGCCAAAGTCCTTATAATGTCTTACAAAGCTCTACAAGATCTTCCCCTAACTCCATCACTCTGATCACATCTCCTATTACTGTTCTCCTTCACCCTGCTCCAGACACACTGGCTGCCTTGCTGTTCCTCAAACTCTAGCCAAGCTCTTGCATCAAGGTCTTGGCACTCAACCGTCTGCCTTCTTCAAATGCTCTTCCACTAAACCACCTGGCTCACTTCCTTATTTCCTTTAAAGGCCTTCTCTGACCATCTGACATGTATAATTACTTATTTGATTATATTACTACTAGAGGCCCAATGCACGAAACTCATGCACTCGAGGGGGGGAGGGTCCCCACAGCCTGGCCTGCACCCTTTCACAGTCCGGTAGCCCTTGGGACTGGCAGCTCAGGCCCGCCACCAGGGATGTCAGTCGGACATCCTTAGCACTGCTGTGGAGGTGGGAGAAGCTCCGCCACGGCTGCTATGCATGTCTGCTGTGAGCCTGGCTTCTGGCTGAGCAGAGGGAAGAACAATGACCACCAGGGGTGCGCGCTGACCATCAGGGACAGCTCCTACATTGAGCATCTGCCCCTGGTGGTAGTCGTTCCATGGTTTGGTCGATTTGCATATTAGCCTTTTATTATATAGGATTATATAGAATGTGTTTCCCCTTACTAAATTGTGAGTTTTATAAGGCTCAGGTTTCATATTATACACCAACCAACTCCCATTGCTTAAAATGTATGTAGTAGGTGTCAAATAAATCTCTGTTGAATGGACAACAAAGCTGATGAGTGTATAGAGCCAGGTCACCAACCTACTTTGTCTTGGTCCCTCATGTCTGGCTAGTCACCAAAAGATTGGTTGGCTATGGCCTGAAAATTATACTTTAAGACACAAACGGGAGATCCAAGATGGCTGCGCCCAGGTGAACACCTAGCCGCAGCCGCACACAACAATTTCAATAAAATACAACTAAAATATAAAACGGACATTGCCCAGAACTACAGGAAGGTTGACTGACTGGAAATTCTACAGTGAGAAGCAAGGAGAAAACCAGAAGGAGGTGCGGAGGAGCTGGAAAAGCCAAGGTACGGAGACGCGGAGACGCGGCGCGCAGAGAGGACAGAGCCGGAGAGGAGGGAGGCCGAGTGCCTGGCGGGCGTTCCCTAGCGGAAAGGAGATAAAACTCCGACTGTGCTGGGCCCCCAACTGCTCTGATCCCCAGTTTTAAGCCAGACCCCGGGGACTCAGGCTCAGCCATAGGGAGCCGGGCTGTAAGGCGGAACCCCGGGGAGAGGCGAAAGGAGGTCCCGGAGGCGCGCACACTGCGCGCAGAGAAGGGACATTCGGCTGTGCCGCGGGATTGCCCTGACGGGAAGGAGACTGGGGCTCCAGACTGCTCTGAACGCCACCTCCAACTCCACTTCCAACTGAACTGAACCCCAATACCGGGCTCATTGTGGGAGAGCATAGACTGTTTGACAGCAGGCGAAAATCGAGGGCACCTTTCTCTCAGAGGCGCCGGCAGCGAGCTCTGACGGACCCGCATAGGGCGGGGCTGACGGAAGCCAAAGCTGCAGGCTCCACCCTGAAACCCCGTCCCATCTGTAACTGGGAAATGCGACAACAAAATAGATCACAAACGAAAGAAATGGAGGACAAAAAGCGTCTGGATATAGAGTTCAAATCTACGCTTATAAGGTTTTTCAAGAATTTCCTAGAAAAGATGGATAAGGCCTATGAGGATATGAAAAGAGATCAACTAGAATTAATAAGGGATCAACAAGACATAAAGAATACATTGTCTGAAATAAAAAATATTTTACAGAGTCCTAAAAACAGAAGGGAAGATCACAAGAATCAAGTCAAAGATTTGGAACATAAAGAGCCAGAAGACACTCCTCCACAGAAGCTAGAAGGCAAGAGAATCCAGAAAATTGAAGATAATGTAAGAAACCTCTGGGACAACTTCAAGCGAACCAACATCAGAATTATTGGGGTCCCAGAAGATGAGAGAGAGCAAGATATCGAAAACATACTGAAAGAAATAGTGACAGAAAACTTCCCCCACCTGGGGAAAGAATTAGACTTACAAGTCCAGGAAGCGCATAGAACTCCAAACAAAAGGAATCCAAAGAGGACCACACCGAGACACATCATTATTAAAATTCCAAGAGCAAAAGACAAAGAGAGAATATTAAAAGAAGCAAGAGCAAAGAAGGTAGTAATCTATAAAGGAGCACCTATACGATTGTCAGCTGACTTCTCAACAGAAACCATGCAGGCCAGAAGGGAATGGCAAGAAATATTCAAGGTGATGAATAGCAAGAACCTACAGCCAAAAATAATCTACCCAGCAAAGCTATCACTCAGAATCGAAGGCCAGATAAAGAGCTTCACTAATAAAAAAAAGCTAAAGGAGTTCATCACCGCCAAACCAGATTTATATGAATTGCTGAAGGGGGTTCTTTCAGAAGAGAAAGTAAACAAAGATAAAAATTATGAACAACAAATACGTAACTATCAACAAGTGAATCTAAAAACCAAGGAAATTAAAAAAATCTGATGAACAATATTAACTATTGAATATAATAGAATCAGAGGTATGGAAGGGGAGTGAACTGACAATTCTTGGGGAAAAGGGGAGAGGGGGGCGTGAGAAGAGACTGAACATAAACTGTGCACATATGGATGAGGACAATGGGGAGAGGGGAAAGGGCAGAGGGTGGGGTGGGAACCTGGTGGAGGAGAGCAATGGTGGGGGGGGGGGGAAAGGAACATTTGTAATAATATGAACAATAAAAACTTATAAAAAAAAAAAAAAAAAAAAAAAGACACAAACGACAGGCTGCATTTGTCTTTAACAAATTTTTGGTCCTCTGAAAGTCTTCCAAGAAAGTTAAGATTTAGTGTAACGTAGAGAACTAGTTCCCATCAGTTTCTCTGCTTAGGTAGAATAAGATTTATTCTTCCATGGCTGGGTAAAGAAACACAAATTAAAACAATTTTCTGGATCCTTTTCAAATTCTACTTAAACATAGAATGCTCTTGATTATCTATGCTACTTTATTTTCCATCTTTGCTCTGGTTGTTCCACACTGCCTAACTCTGCAAATTAAATTGCGTGAAATTATAAACAAAAATTCTATGAGCATTCACATGCAAGCTAAATTGCATAATCCAAAATTTAAGCCACAGCAACTAAATTTTTGCATTCTCTTAAAGGGGCGTAATTTTCCAGGAATAATTGGAAAGCATTTCCAAGATCTTTGGAAAGGTTATGTATATGTATAAGACTCTTTGTAACTACAGAATTTAATCAATCATGATAAATTCTAACAAATATTATTAATATTAAAGGCATTCTTAAAAGCCTTTGGTTATTTTTACTAACTTTTGCATCATTTACTCATTGTAATGAGTTATATTTGTCTATGAGCGGGAAGATAATAAATACAGACAGTACATAACTGTTTGCACCTATGAATTTGGAGTGTGAATGCTTATACTTTAGAAACTTTTACCAAAAAAAAATAAAATTCGTTAAAATCATAGTGCAACAGTTATATTTAAGTGAAAAGTAATTTTCCATTTAGTGTTAAGCTCCATAGTTCACATATATAGGGCATATCTAGTCATGTGAAGTGTAACTTGAATGACAATTGTTGGTAAAAACTTAAAATGTTTTTTTCACCCCATAATTATTCAAAGCACTGCATGCCGGGTTCAGTCAGATCGTGTGCAATCCTGTCTTTCTCCACCCCATATGCCATCAGATATACCTTCATTCACTGACCACTCACAGGTAGAAAGAAGTACAGGGCACCAAACGGCCTTGACAGGTAAAGTTCCAAGATTTAAAAAAAAAAAAAAAAAAAAGGAAACCAAAAGACATCATCCTGAGTACTGGTTGGGCCTCTCTCTTCCTTGAGCAGCTCAAGTGCCTCTACTGCCCCTTCAAAACTTAGTATTTCTTTGCATGGGTTCTAGGACCAGGGTAGCGTCAGCTTCCTCCAGCCTTCTAAACTGGGATACCAACCCCATCCGACAGGCTCAACAGATTCCCAAGTTCAGTGCAAGGAAAATTTCTGCAACACAGGCGCCGACCGACCAAAAGGCATTCCGACCGCCCGGGAAGGCGGAGGAGGGCAGGCAGCTAAAATGAGCGGAGGAATGTGTACCTGGGCAGGTGAAATTTCAGTGACACGTGACTGCTCTTCCCCGCACAGCCCTCTTCCTTCTTCCCGTACAAGGAGGGGTGGCAGGGTCTCCCCCAGACGGCGGAGGAAAGGGAGGGGATTGCCGCCCGGCTGGGGCGCCCTGAGCCTCAAACTGAGACCGCAGCCTGAGGAGGGGAGAGGGGCGGCGAGGACCCGGGAACCAGGTGGCCGAGCCCGGCCGCAGCGCCCGCTCCGCGGAGGAGCCGCCCCACCCCCTCCGCTCCGCCGGGACCGCACGCGCCTCTGCCCGGAGCCGCCGCCGCCGCCGGGCGGGCGGGCGGGCAGGGGCCCCGCTTACCTGCTGCACCCCGAGGAACTCGTAGAAGTTGAGCTGCACCTCCTCCACCAGGTCAAACAACTCCAGGTCCCCGCTCTCCCAGCCGCGCGCCGGCCCCGCGGCCGCCAGCAGCAGCAGCAGCAGCAGCAGCGTCAGCGGCGGCGAGACGCGCCCGGGCCGGGGCTCGGGGCGCCCCGGAGGCCGGGCCGGCCTGGGGCCGGGAGCCGCCATCGCCCCGGGCCCGGAAAGGTCACCCGGCATGCCGCGCCGCCGGCCGGGACTGGGGACGTGGCGGGCGGCGCGGGGTGTGTGGTAGACGGCGGCCGCGGTCCGGAGCTCGGGCAGCCGCCCTGAGTGTCCCGCCCGGCGGCGGCCCCGCGGCGGGCAGGGGGGCGGGAGCCTGCGGCGGCGGCGGCCGGGGCGCGGGGGGCTACCGCGGGCCGGACCCTCAAGCCCGGGCCTAGAACAGCTGGAGCACCAGCCCGGGAGCTAAGGTTGCCGAAGGGGCGGGGCTTCCCCTCGTTTTAACCTATTCCAGGCCTCGCTTCCTGTGACATCACGTCTCCTAGCAACCGTCGGGGAGGGGGCGTGGCCGGAAGTGGGGAAGCCGGTTGCCCCAGATCTGGGCCTCCAAAAGAGGCTTCTCTGCAGCTGATGCTCCCTGAAGAGGTGGCTTGTGTTTTCACACATTGAGACGCATCGCACATGGACTTGGAACATCGCAAGTATAAATCTCCCCCTGAAACAGCTACCTTCTTACCCTTCCCCGGATACAGGAAACTAAAAGCATATAGGAAAACTGATTTATTAATTATGGCTCTTTCCATACATTTCATTCCATCAGCAAAGCTAAAGGAGAAATTGGACCCATGGGCTTAAAGGAGAAAATCTAGGAAGTAGTTTGAAGTATGTTTTGTGAGAGAAATGATATTTGAACCAATGCAAAAAAGTATACTTCTAATTATGAATTAAGATTTATAAGTATAATGCCATCAAATAGGTAGCCTGGCAGAATTAATATTGGCAACTCAATCATGATCTTAGAGAGGTAGTGTGGGTTTATCCACCTTAGCCCACTTCCTTTCTCTATTGAGGCCTGTTGTTAAAGAAATAGAAGCTAAGCCCTAACCGGTTTGGCTCAGTGGATATAGCGTCAGGTCTGTGGACTGAAGGGTCTCGGGTTCCATTCCAGTCAAGGGTGCATGCCCAGGTTGTGGGCTCCACACCCAGTAAGGGGCATGCTGGAGGCAGCCAATCAGTGATTCTCATCATTAATGTTTCTATCTCCCTCTTTGAAATAAATAAAAATGTTTTTTAAAAGAAATAAAAACTGAAAACCTTTTTCCTTTCCCACTCATGTCTTACTTCCTAGTCTTCTGTTCAGTCCCTTTTAAATTTCTTTCCTCCACCACTATTGCTTCTCTTGGGTGAACATTGTTTTCTTCTTAGCTTCTCGCATTTCTCCTCCTTGACACCCTACTCTTGTTGAAGAAGTAGAAGGGGAAAAAATATGCTTGTAGAACTCATGATATTTGCCCGGTTTTAAAAATTTGATAGTATGTTTTTCCCACTTGGATCTGGATAGTTAAATTAAACTCAGTAGGGAGATGGTAAAACGACTTTTGCTCTAATAGTAAGGATATATTATTTTGATAAAGGTTAGCAAACCTAGGAAGTAAATGTTACTGAAGGAGTCCTGTTATTGCAGAGTTTTAAAATATATTTTTAAGTAGTCATAAATGGTGCTTAAAAATATATATATTATTGATTTAATCACATTTTAAGTTCATCATGAGGCTTACTTTTCAAAGGGACTGTAAGCTGGGTGGCTTAAATGACAGATATTTACTTCTCCCAGTATGGAGGCTGGGAAGTCCAAGATCAGGGTGCCAGCATGGTCAAGCTCTGGTGAGAGTCACCTTCCAGGTTGCAGAGGGCCTTCTGGCTGTACCCTCACATGTGAGAGTATGGGTGAGAGGGAGAGAGATCTTGTGTTTTCTCTCATCAGGGTACTAATCCCACAGTGTGGGCTCCACTGGCCTGACCTCATCTAAACCTGATTATCTTTCAAAGGCCCCACCTCCAGCCCTGGCATGACAGCTCAGTTGGTTAGAGCAGGGGTGTCGAACTCAATCAGAGAAGGGGCCAAAATCTAAAATCCAGCCTAAATCGCGGGCCGAATGGTTTACTGAACAGTCATAAACGGACAATGTTAACCAGAAATGTGAATTTAAAATGAGTGGAACAATCTTTTCCTTAACAGTGCTGTTAACCAACTCACATGCTATCAAGCAAAACAGTAATATTGGAATGTACCTAAAATGCTCATTGTTTTGTTTTCTGGCTAGATGTCTGACACCGTTTTCCCCGGATCAATGAGTCAATGTTCGGTTTTATTTCTTGGGCTGTAGCAACCCGCAAAACAGCATGGAGGTTGTCATCGGTAATGCGTGATCTGTGCTTGTTTTTGTTCAGATTCATTATTGAAAACATCTGTTCACAAAGATAGGTGCTCCCGAACATGGATAGAATACGGGCAGCATGAAGTCGGAGCTCTGGCATTGAGTCAGGGGGCAGTAGAGCACATGTGTCAAACACAAGGCCCGCGGGCCAAATCCGTCCCGCCAGGCCTTGCAATGTGGCCCGCACCGTGCTGTCATCACTGCACTCCGCTGCGTTTTCATCACAATGACAGTTTATGACTGTTCAGTAAACCATTCGGCCCGCGATTTAGGCTGGATTTTAGATTTTGGCCCCTTCTCTGATTGAGTTCGACACCCCTACAGTAGAGGGTAGAAGTCCTCATTTTCAACATCCTGAAACCTTGATTTCAGGCCACTGTCAGACTGAAGCTCAATTATCTCCATCTGAAGGTGATGAGGCACATTGTTGACATCAACTGTAAAAGGATTGGCAAAGATGTCAAAGCCTGAGTGCTGTGTTCTAAAGTCAGAGAAGCGCCGCTCAAATTCACTTAGTAAATGGCTAACTTTGGTAGCCAGCCGACTGCAAGGAAAAGTACCAGAAATAGTGGTTGAGATACTCAAACAAACGGGAAAGTGGGCAAGATTGTCCTGTTCCAGTTGGGACTTCCATAGTTGAAGTTTACGCTGGAATGCTGTAATCATGTCAGACATCTTCGTGATGACTTGTTTGCGTCCCTGCAGCTTCAGATTCAGTTGGGCGAGATGCTCGCATATGTCACACATCATAGCAAAATCACATAGCCAGGCAGGATCCGACAGTTCAGGCAAGGGCTTTCCTTTACTTTCCATGAAAAGAGCAATTTGTTCTCTGAGCTCAAAAAATCTTTTGAGGACTGCGCTCTTGCTCAGCCATCTTACTTCTGTGTGGTATGGCACGTCTCCATGCTCTGCACCCACCTCCTGTAAAAACTGCTGGAACTGGCGATGATTCAGGCCACGTGCCCGTATAAAGTTAATAGTTTTAATGACTGTGGGTCATTATGTCATTCATGTCCAGAACTTTTCCACACATAGCCTCTTGGTAGATAATGCAATGATAAGTAATCAAGGGTGTGTGGCAATGATTTTTTTGCATTCTTTCCTTCATTAGTCCAACCAAGCCTTTCTTTTCTCCGCACATTGAAGGTGCGCCATCGGTAGTTAGCCCCACCAACTTTTCCCAGGGTAATTTAAAATTATTTATAGATTTCTCCACAGCCTCAAATATATCTCTACCAGTCGTCGTCCCATGCATGGCAGCTACATCCAAAAGTTCCTCAGTGACAGAGAGGTCGGTCTTCGTAGCACGTATAAAGATGGACAGCTGCGCTGTATCAGTGTTGTCTGTGCTTTCATCGATAGCAAGTGAAAAAGCGAGATAACTGCATGCCTGTTCGGCCAGCTGTGATGATAGATTTCCTGAGAGTTCTTGAACTCTATCTGCAATGGTGTTTCTTGACAAACTGACATTTTGAAAACTCTGTATCTGGTCTGGGCATACTTGCTCACACACTTTTAGCATGAATTGCTTCAAAAAGGCACCCTCTGAAAAACACCTTGAAGTACGGGCAATTTCTTCAGCCACTATAAAGCTTGTTTTCACTGCAGCATCATTTTTCGCTGTAGCCTTTGTAAACATTTGCTGCTGTGATTGTAGTTTGCCTTTTAGTTCTTTAACAATTTTATGCTTTTCTTCCAAAGTATATTTGCCATACTTAACATTATGTTTGGTGTCAAAATGACGACGTATATTGTACTCTTTCATCACTGACATTGTCTCATAACACAATATACACACTGGTTTGCCCTCTCTAAGCACAAACTTGTATTCATTTTCCCATTTGTCATTGAATTGTCTGCCTTCACCGTCAACTTTTCTTTTCCTGGACATTTTGGGATCAATATTGGCAGTAAAAGATGTAGTTTATTGGAAATCTGCGTTAGAAGGAAAAAGTTGAAAACTGCACAGGGATAGCTTGATTTGGCAGATGGAGTGGAGAAAAAAAAAGTCAGTCAATAAATGCCTGGCTGGGTACAGATAGCAGATTCTGTTGCGATTTTTATGCCTGCACTTTATGCCAGGAACTGGCAGCTTCTGCTGTGTATTTTTTATGCCCGCACACTCACTCTCTCCTCTGCTCTGCCACCCGCACAACCACATCGGATGCTGGACTATAGGTCGCGCCTCCTGAATCTCGCGTGACTTGTTATCTATGCACATGCATAATAGATAGCAAGTACAGCGGCCGGCTGGCGAGGCGGCCGGCGAGATCACAAGCCTCCTATGTCACCGTGCGTCATTGTGATGGAACGCAGCAGAGTGCAGTGATGACAGCGCGTCGCGGGCCACATTGCAAGGCCTGGCGGGCCGGATTTGGCCCGGGGGCCTTGTGTTTGACATGTGTGGGTTAGAGCATCATCCCCATGCACCAAGATTTCAGGTTCAATTCCCAGTCAGGGCACATACAAAAACCAACCAATGAATGAATAAATAAGTGGAACAACAAAGGCTCCACCTCCAAATACCATCACATTGGGGGGGGTTAAGACTTCAACATAGTAATTTGGGGGAGAGAAGCAAACATTCAATCCAAAGCAATGGGTTAGCACCTTTTTCATGTACACCCAGTGCCAAACACAATGCTTAGCACACACTAGCCTTTAATTAGTTAAATGTGTATATCTCCCACTCCAATTTTTCTTATCTTGCTTTCTGACATATCAGTTTTCTTAAGGTGAAAGGCATCTTTATCAAGTCTCTAAATTAGCTTACTCTTTATGAATGAAACATTAAAATAAGATGAACATAATAAGCATTAGCTATACTAATAAAAGCCTAGGTGGCCCTCATGTCCTCACATCATCACAAGATGACCACCCCCATGTCATCACAATATGGCTGCCACAATATGGCTGCCCCCACATCATTACAAAATGGTCACCCCCTTGTCACAAGATGGCTGGCCCCACATCATTTCAAGATGGCTGCCACAAGATGGCCATCAGGGGAGGGCATTTGGGAGCAACCAGGCTGGCAGGGTT